GATAATAAAATGGAATGTGTACAAATACATACAAAATCAGTGCCAAACCCAACTGCCCCTGATGGCAACACATCACTGTCACCCCCGGCTGGGGAGCAGCCCCTGGAAAAAGTCCCAGGCTGGACTCAGCCACAGACAGCAGCTGGGTACAGGAGCTGGACTCTGGGTCAGTTTTTCTGTGCACTCCTCCCCTCAGGTGCAGCTTCACTCTCTGCCCCCTCAGTGTGGGGTGGGAGCTCAGCAGTGGCCTTGGTCTGCATCCCAACCCCTGGCAGTAGCTCTAAACATGAAGTCTTATCACTGTTTAAAGCAGGCAGTTAATTAGAAGAGCTTTAGCTAAAAAGTAAAATCACTGAACAGAATCAGCCCTGTTTTACCCCAAACCAGGGCAGTGCCTTAGCCCTCAACTTCAGTCTGAGGCTGTTGAGATCTCCAGAGAGTTTCAGGTTTGCTTTCTTGGGGGCCTGCTGGTCATCTTGATGCCAGAGGAAGGTTGTGTGTTTCCTTTCATGCTGCTCCCCTCGTGACCCTCCTGACTGGTGCTGTGGGGTGCTGGTATGGTACAACTGGTGCAGCTGGGAACGAGATGGGTATGTGCTTGCATCCTGAGGGGGAAGTCTCTGGAGCCAGCTGGGTGGTGATGTGTACACATCTGTCACAGCCTTAGCTCCTCTGCTGGGTAGGATGTGCTCCCTGGGCCTGCTGGCCCTGCACAGCTGCACGTGGTTGGCTGTTGTGGTTTGAGGCTTGGAATGGGGCCGTGACCTTCCAGCAACTGGGAGGACCCCGGGTGGGGGTGAAACCATTGTATTCCCTCCCCTTCCCACACACACTCTGATAAGAGGCAGGGAGTGGGTTCTTATTTCACTCCTGCCTTGGAGCTCGGAGAGGAAAGTTCTCCTTTCACTCCGTGGGACCCTGCAACCATTTCTGAGGGTTTTGTATATTTTATTTTTTGTATTATTCCCCTAATCTTTGTATATATTATTTTCCTTACCTCCCTTTTTCGTTTTCTGTTCCTTGTTGAACAATATACTTCATTTTTTGTAAAAGTGTCTCTCTCTCTCTCTCTCTCGAGGGGGGGGGGGAGAGGCGAGTACATAGTTCTGTTCCGTGTGGGTCCTGCCCTGAACCCCTTTTTACACGGAACCAGGACATGGGCTCACCTTGCTCTCTGGTGGCTTGAGCAGATGTGACCTGGTGACACTGGCACTGCCAGGTGCCCGGTCCTGTGTCCATCTGCCATGGTGTTTAAATGTGGTTGGGAAGCACTGGGCAGGGACTCGTCCAGGGTTGTCCCTGGCTGTAGCAGTGACAGCAGGCACACTCCTCCCAGGGGCCATGGCCAGGGGCTTTTCTTGCTCGGACACTTTTCACCTCGCCTTAGGAGTGGCTTGCCCTGGCTGTGGAGGGGCCAGGACTCGCACGCTCAGGGATAGACTGGCCCAGTGGGAACCAGCTCCCATGCTGGTCGAGCTCAGCAGATCCAGGACAGTTGTGATTCCTTTTCCTAGGATAAAGCAGCAGAAGAGAATGGGCAGGATCTGCACAACCATGTCCCCGTTTGTGATAACACTCCCTGCTTTAGCTGCAGTGGTGACTGTCCTCCCCCTGCCCAGCACAGGGGCTGGCTGCCACAGCTGGGTGACCTGACCAAGGAGCTGGGCGTTGGTCTCTAACTGCAGTCCCTTTCCCTTCCTCCCCCCATTGGCAGTTTTGTCATTGCTGCTGACCCCTCCACTGACCTGTGCTTCCTCCCCACTCCATCCTGTGGCTGCTGCTCCAAGGCAGGGGTGCAAGCAGAGGTGAGGTTGGGGCTGGTCCTGGCAGGGCTGTGGATGCTGAGCACCCCTGGCTAGCCTGTTGTTGAGCTGTCAACCGAGTCCCTGTGTGTGGAGGAGAGGGAGCTCTGGGGAAGGGTTTTCCCCAGCTCTGTGTGGCTGCAGGGAGCCAGGCTTGTGTAAGGCACAGGTCTCACTCGTGCCCTCCCCACTTGGAGTGGGATGATGGACTGCAGATGTCCTGAGGAGGCTTCCAGCCAGCACTTCTGTGGTCCTGTGTACTCGGGCTCACTGGGGAGCAGGCAAGGGCAGGGCTGTGTAACCAGCTTCCCTTGGTTACCAGCCTTTCCTGAAAAGGTGTATTTAGGCAGAAACACTGTGTTATTGCTGTGGTGGGACTGAAACTTGTAGGCATGGGGAGGTCATTACCACAGTGCCATGGATGACTTATTGCTTTTATTGGTTGTGTTGCTGAAAGCTGGATTTTTGAACAGAGTTAAAACCAAGCCAGGGTGTTAGCACAGCTATTGGTATTTTCCTTCTATTGCTCATGTAAACAGCCAGTTATTTAAAGATGAGCATAAAACCAATCCTGTTTTTCTTCTGATTTAGTATCTTTGGTTCCTTTGTGTTTCAGGACAGTCAGGAATTTTTTAGTCCCAGGTGTGGTTAAAGTTGGATGTTTGTCTTCTCCTCAGAGGCTGGGGTGAAGCACGGCCAGCCCTGGGCCACAGAGCAGCAGAGGCTCAGCGAGGTGCAGTAGGTGTCTTACATCAGGCTGCAGAAGGCTCTGGCAGCTGCTGTACAGCAGCAGAGCTGTGGCTTTTGACCTGTGTGGTCTCAGAGCTCATTGCATTCCTAGAGGAACACAGAATGTTCCTCAAGGAAAGATCATTCTCCTGGTTGGCAGTCGTTAGCGTTACGCTAGCTTGGGAACAAAGACTGTGAATGAGCTGTGTGTTTGTTGTGTGGTCTGGTTCTTCCCCAAGTTCTGGACTTCCCTGGTTTGTCAGGAGGAATGACATTGGTTTCAATCAGACTGCAGGAGTTGTGGCTTCTGCAGGGCTGGGTGTGTTATTACTCCTGAGCAGAAGCTGGAGCACAGGTACAGGTAGTTGATAGAGGCAGGTGCCAGAAATGCTCCCACCCTCCTGAAGGTGATGAGACTTCACCTCTTGGGGATGCAGAAGTGTTGATAAGCAGCAGGACTGTACCCAGCCCTCGGTGAGGTCAGCTACAGCTTTATCAAAGCCTTGAAAACCTCAAGGGAAGGACATCCCCCACCCCTGGATACTTCTTCCAGTGGGGCACCACCTTCCTAGTTTTTATTCGAATGCCCAGTTTGAGCCTCCCAAGCTGCAGCTCGTGGCTGTTCCCTGTTGTTACACCATCCACTGCTTTAGGTGAAGAAGCTGCTGCATCAAAGAGGTGAAATGAATCTTTTTGTGTTGCGTGCAGCAGGGTATTTCTCTCAGGACTGCCAACAGTGGGCATTGAGGTGGCAGCTTCTGGGTGTTGGCCGAGCCCTGCAGGAAGCTCAAGGGGAGAGCAGGGGGTGTTGCTGGCTTTTGTGATTCTTACTGTCTCTTGGGGTTCTTTCTTCTGTTCAGGCTTGCATCAGATCTCACAGAACAAAGTGGCAGTGCTGCTGCTGGCTGGAGGACAAGGCACTCGCCTGGGAGTGAGCTACCCCAAGGGCATGTACAACGTGGGGCTGCCCAGTGGCAAGACCTTGTATCAGATCCAAGCAGAAAGGATCCGCAAGGTGGAGCAGCTCGCTGGCCAGAGATACCACTGCAAGTGTGCCATCCCCTGGTAGGTCACCTAGAGCCACAGACCTGCTGTGCAGGGCTCTTCGTGTGCCAGTCTTGCCTGTGTTGGCTCCTGCAAACACTTTTCTGGGTGCTGCACAGATGTGCGTCTGGGGAGAGCCTGTTGTCTGTGGGGTTTGTGGTGGAGGAGGGTGCACAGGGATGGGAAGTGGCAGGTTCCTGTCTGCAGACCTGAGGCACTGAGCACTGCCCCTGAACTGCTGAGCACTACCTGCCCTGCTGCACCCTGCTCTCTTTTCAAGGACAGACCCTGGCAGCACTGTAACCAGCACTTCTCAGTGCCTGTTTCAGAGGCTTCACAAGAGATTTCATCTGTTTGTGCTGTGCTTTCTCAGATTCCTGCATGGAGGGAGGGATCACCTTGGAGCTCACTTTTCAAGACCCTCCACCTCCCACAATTCTGCCACATCAAAACCTCTCTTCCCCTTGCAGAAGTAGATGCTTGTCATGCTCTGTTTTCAGGCCACCTCCTGTCATTTACAGCTGGTTACCCTCTCCTGGCTGCCCCCAGCCTTCAAGAGGCTTCAAAAGAGACTGGCTCTGTGCAGGGGGCAAAACAGGAATTCCCTGTAGGGTGTGGTAGGATGTAGGTGAGAGGGAGCAAGGTGCTGCAGCACCTCTGGGAATGTTTTCTGCCAAGTGTTTTTCCTTGGACTGTGGAGAGTTCTCTTTATGAAACCACTGTCTGACTTGAGCTGGGCTTTGGGAAGAATGAAAGAGCAGATGTCTGAGGTCTTCAGGGTAGCACATTGTTTTACAAATTGGAGAGTGAAGGTGATTCATGTCCATTTTGTGTCTTTCTGAAGCCATGCATGTACAACCTGAGTGACAAATGCACCATCTCCTGGCATGCTCTCAGAAGACCCTGCATGGCTGTGCCAATAGCTGTTGAAGTGCTTGATAGGTAGATTATGAAGATGGTTCTGAGCCACTGTTGAAGCAGGAGGATAGGAGGAGGAGACAGCAGCAGTGTGGAACTGGAAGGAGAGGAGGAAATAGAGAAACTTAAGAGAAAAACAAATCATGCAGCCAGCACTTGGAAATGCTGCTGCTCACCCTGGTGGAGAGAGGCCCTGGCAGACTTGAGCTCCTGGGAACTTGCAGCTCGTTCTCAGCACCATGTGCTGAGCAGTGATGCTTTAGACATTTGACATCAGTTTGGACCTAGGGTGAATGAGGCTGTTGTACTGTCCTCTGCCTTGCTTTCCAACTCCTCTGCATACCCAGATGTCATTAGTGTTGAGGCACAGGCTCTGCTCTCCTGGCTGGAGCCAAGCCTGTGGGTGGGATCACTGTGAGACTCTGCAGCCTTCCTGTGGGATGAGTTCTGGAGGAGAGCTGTCCTGCTCAGCTGTATACTGCAGGATACTCCAGTGTCTCTCATTTAGCACTCTTGGGATTCCTCCCTTGCATGTTCCATTTGTAGCTTTGTCTTTGGTTGTGCTTTTCTTGCTCAGCTCACGTTCCTCCCCAGGTACATCATGACAAGCGAGTTCACGCTGAGGCCGACAGAAGAGTTCTTTGTGGAGCACAACTACTTCAACCTGGATAGAGCCAACGTGGTCATGTTTGAACAGAGGATGCTGCCTGCTGTCACCTTTGATGGGAAAGCCATCTTGGAGGGGAAGGGGAAAATCGCTATGGCTCCAGGTACCCTGGGCTTGCTCCTGCGTGGAGCAGTGAGTGGTGTGTTGGTGACTGCTGCTGGCCATCAGCCAGCCTGGGCCCTGGGGCAGGCCTTGGAGGCCAGTGTGAGTGCTGCTGATTGCTGCAGGAGGGCTCAGTGTCAGCTGGAAATCAAGGGTGTAGTAATCTCTAGTTCCTGCTGGAGATTTGCTCACAGTACACGTGGATTTTATCAGACCTGGGGGCACTGGCAGGACTGGGAGTGGTGCAGCTGCAGGTTGCAATGTCTCACCTGCTGCAGTTTTCCCCTGAGCCTGGACAGGATAAGAGGCCTGGTGGAGTCAGCCTGCTCAGGGCCACGTTGCAGTGATGTGGTTTTGCAGCTTCCTGAGCTGACAGTGGCAGAGGAGGAACCATGGAAGGATGATCTGTCATGGACAAATGTGCAGGTGTCTTTCGTGCAGCTGCTGTTCAGGCCTTTAAAAAGGTTTTGGGGAGTTGCAGGGGGAAGATAAACAGAGAATAAGATTTTACTTTAGTCTTTTTCTCCAGGCTGAGTTTTAAATATGCTTTTGGTCTACACTGGGAAAGAAGAAATGTAACAGGCTTGTCCCACCCTCTGCATAATGTTTTGCCCTGTAGTGTTGTCCCTCTGAGGATCTTACAAGGCTTCATAAAGCCTCATGTTTCTCTGTGAGGCTGGTCCCCACCGTCCTGCTCTGTGTATGAGGGGGCTGGGCCTGGATGAGGACAGGCTTCCCTGAGCTGTGTGGCAGGGCTGGAGATAAAACCTGGTGGCACTGGCCCTTGGCAAGAAGGCACTCCCTGCTCTGCTGTTACAGCAGCTTCTTCAGGACTTTGAGCCGTTAGCTGTCAAACGAAGTCACTAATTAACCAGGGCTTTCTCTTTTCTCTTGCATTATAGATGGCAATGGTGGCTTGTACCGTGCTTTGGTGGATAATAAGATCTTGGATGACATGAAGCAGCGTGGAATCCAGTATGTCCATGTCTACTGTGTGGACAATATCCTCGTGAAGATGGCAGATCCTGTCTTCATAGGCTTTTGTGTTTCCAGAGGGGCAGATTGTGGTGCAAAGGTGAGGCCGTGCTGGGCCTTCTTCCCATGGGGAGTGAAGGTCTGATTATATTTGGAAGCTGCTGACCAGGGTGGGCTTAGATGAAACAGGGTGTTCAGACCTCTGCCCAACATCAGGTCCCTCCAGGCAGGTGTAAAGGAGCTGCTTGCTGCCTGCACTGCATTCAGAATCCCTGCTTGTGAGTGTTCTCCTCCACTCTTCCAGAGTGCTGTGGAAAATAAACCTCAATTAGAGCAGAGGCTGTAGCTGCACAGGTAGCAACAGGCTGGAACTGCCTCCCCTTTGGGCTGGAACTGCCTCCCCTTTAGGCTGGAACTGCCTCCCCTTTACACCCTGCCCTTTCTGCAAATGCACTGCAGCCATCTAGAAGCTGTGTTGGACTGGGCTGTGTTTTATAAATGCACCTTTAAGTCATCCTTTATGCCCCGCTGTGGAAGGTGGGGAAAACCAAACCAGCCTGATTTTGTCACCCTAAAGCAGCAGGAGCCTGAGGAGACATTTATATGACTTTAATAATTAACACTTGATGAAACAGGGAGTGTAATAGCTGCAAACGTTTTTCATTTAATGCCAGGTCGCAGTCCTTGATAAGCAACTGCCCCCAGTGTCCTGGTTTCTTTTAGCTGGTTTGTCTTCTGAGCAACTGTGCAATTAAGTGGTCGAGTACTGGGTTTTATGTCCAGTTGTTGGGCAGAATGTGTCTCCAGGCCACTCTGGACACCCAGCACTGTCCTGCCTGTGGCCCTGAGGTGCTGGGGGAGCAGCACGCAACAGTCCTGTGGGATCATTTGTACTTGGGAGCTGGCACAGTGCCTGGATTTTCTTCCTCCTTGTCATGGCCCTCTGTCCTGTGGCTGCAGGTGGTGGAGAAGGCCTACCCCACAGAGCCTGTTGGGGTGGTGTGCTGTGTGGATGGGCTCTATCAGGTGGTGGAGTACAGTGAGATCAGCCTGGAGACTGCGCAGCAGCAGCGCCCCGGGGGGGGCCTGACGTACAGCACGGGCAACATCTGCAACCACTTCTTCACAGTGGAGTTCCTGGAGATGGTGGCCCAGTAAGTTCCACCAGACCTGCAGGGCAGATGTGCAGCCCAGAAATGCCTCCAAGAGTGGGTGTTCCTCTTTCCCACTCTAATTTCGGTTTTGGGTACCTCCTGCTCTGCTCTTTACCTCCTCTCTCCTCCAAACAGTTCAGAACAGTGGCTTCCCCTGTCTGACAGCCCCAGTGTGCTCTTCAGGCCTTACCCAGTGAAGAGTTTGCCTGCTTTGCTGTAGCAAGACTGAGCAGGGTATACCAGTGCATGATCTTCCTGGCCTGCAAGGGTGAGCAGCCACGTGGGCTCAGTGTGGTCAAGGATGCAGCCTCACAGGGAGGATTTTCAATGGGAATGTCACCTGTGCCATCCCTTGGGACAACAGAAGTTGAGGGAGAAGGTGAAGCTGGGGAAGGACTCTGCACCTTGGTGCTGGGAGATGGGGATGTGATGCTGGGTGTTCAGTGGACAGCTCTTTGACCTTCCTGAGGAGCTGGATCCCCCTGTGTGTGAGGGATCTGCTCTTCTCCTTTGTCACTCTGATAGATACAATTTGGGTTACCTCTTTTTACCTCTGTGTGCAATTTCAGCTTGATGCTAGGCCCTCCCTCTCCTCTGGCTTTACCCTGTCATGTCCCACTGGTACAGGGGATGTCATGGCCAGGCTGCTCTGTCCAGTGAGGTGTTTCATGGATGTGACTTTAATCAGTTTGGAGAGAGCAACGCCCACAAGAGTTGAGAGATGACCCAGAGCACGAACACGCCATCTACTTCCCAGAAGTTTATTGCTTTTTTCTGAGTGGGCATGAAGTAAATGAACTTGTTTCTCCTCCTTTTGCAGGAAATATGAGCCGCAGCTGAAGCATCATGTAGCCATAAAGAAGGTGCCCTACATTGACGAGGAGGGAAATCTGGTAAAGCCGCTAAAACCGAACGGGATAAAGCTGGAGAAGTTTGTGTTTGATGTGTTCCAGTTCTCTAAGTTAGTGGCAGACATGATTTTATTTTTTCCTCCCCTTCTCCCTGTTTGTGTGAATGTCTGTAGACTGTAGCAGGCCTTGCCAGGGAGCGTGTGGGTTTTGGGTGGCTTGTTAGAAAGGCTTTTGGATCTACACCAAGCTCCAGCACAACAGGAACACCACAGGCTCCAGGAGCAGCCCCAGGGTGCTCGGCAGCAGCCAGGCTTCCTCCACTCAGGGTGTGTGAAAGAAAGAATGAAAAATAAAATCAAATGGAGCACTAAGCCAGTGGCTCATACAGGCCCGTGCTGGAGTATTCAGACTCTTGAAAGTCGTGTCTTTCAGGATTGTGGCTTCCATGGCAACTGCAGCTCTGGTCGGGTGTTTGGTGTGTCACGCCAGGGCTCCACTCACACCCTTTGTGCCTAGAGAGGAGGCTGCTTCAGCACTGGGGGGCCAAGTTCCTGTTGCTGTAGGAACTGTCAGTGTTGACTTGCCAAGCTCTAAAACCTAGCTCAGAGCACTCTTAGCACAGCCAGGGGCACTTTGTGTTCAGGGAACGAGAGATTTTAATAATTTAGGAATTTAGCATAAATGCTGTTATAAAACCTAATTTAGCAGTAAAGATTCTGTTTTAAGCTTAAATAAATGGCAAAAAGAGAACTTGGGCAAACTGAATTACCTTTGTTTGGGGGTAGTATTTTTCTTTTGAAGATTTATTTTAGGATAGATAGCTCAGGGTTTGAACCAGTCTCCATTTCCTGAGGTGTTTGGTAAAGAAGTATCATACCAAAGACAAAACCAGTGTAACAGAGACAGGGCTAAGTTCTGAGCTGTGAAAGGACTCACTTGCAAGCCATGAATCCTTGTGCTTCTTTCATAACACTGCAAAAGCAGCTTGGCAGCTGCTTTTCACACATGAAATGCAGAAATGCACAGATGCTGCTGTGGGATTTTTTAATTTGCATTCCTGTTCCTGGCAAACATCTGTACTTAACATCCAGCTGTGAATCCTCCCATAATGCTTATTCATCCCTGGGAGCTGGTGTCCTAGGCTGATCCCTTGCCTACAGTGGAGTGGCCATTTCTTGGAGCAAGGGTGTGGTGCTCTGAAGTGAGAGCTCAGTGCTCTGTCCCAGCTTCTGGCCCTGCTGCTCCCTCCATCCCTCTGTGCTCTTAGCTGAGACTGTTTGTCCTCAGTGCCTGGAGAGGTTTCTGTGGGATCTCTGCAGAACTGTTGCTTTTCCTCCCACCTCTGCACGACTCTGGGGGGTTACGAGGCTGCTGTTGTGTTCCCAAGGAGACCAGGCTTCTGCTTGTGCTTTCCTGCCATACAGCCCTGGCTGGTGGCACTTTCCTCTTTGGATGGGGGGTGGGCTTTCCTCAGCTTGACTGCCCCAGGCTCTGTGCATCAGTGTTTCTCAAAAATCTCTCTCTCTCTCTGAGCTTTCCCTGATGGAAGTTGTTGCATCAACAGGGCTGGTGGCTAGCTTTAGTTTGCATTACCTTTGTTTTCTACTCTTTGCTGGTAGGAATTTTGTGGCGTTCGAGGTTTTGAGAGAAGAAGAGTTCTCGCCACTAAAAAACGCAGACTCAGCTGACAAGGACACCCCCAGCACTGCTCGCCAGGCCCTCCTGGCCCAGCACTACCGCTGGGCCCTCAAGGCTGGGGCCAGATTTCTGGATGAAAACGGTTGCAGGATACCAGAGAAACTCAGGTATAGACCTCTGTGGCTTTCTTCACAGCTTCTCTGCCTGCGGCTGCCCGAGCGTGCCAGCGAGCTGACAGCGTATTCTGTGCTCTACAAACCCAGCCATTCGTTTGACCCCAGGGTGACTTGGCATGATTTCCCTTCAGCTGATCTTTTCTGAACGCACAGACTAGTGTCTGTTCCAGCTCCTGCTCCACTGGTGACTGTGAGGGCTCTAGACAGCAGTGCTTGGTGCTCTGGGTGCTCTTTCTGGCAGGGATTCTGCTCATGGAATGGGTTGCCCAGGGAGGGGGTTGAGGCCCCATCCCTGGGGGTCTTTAAGGCCAGGCTGGAGGAGGCTCTGGGCAGCCTGATCTAGTGGGAGGTGGCCCTGCTCATGGCAGAGGGGTTGGAACTGGGGGATCCTTGTGGTCCCTTCCAACCCTGACAGATTCTGATCTGTTTTAGCAGAGGACTTTAGAGCCCTAATGGCTCAATGGTTGGACTTGATGATCTTGGAGGTCCCTTCCAACCTAAAGGATTCTATGACTCTATGATTCTATGATTCCTGCCTTTGGGGTCATGAGTTGACAACCCCTATAGCAACTCATTAGGCAGTGGAAACCTTTTCCATCATTCTGAATTTCAACAGGCCAAGGAACTGTAATTTGTAGTCCTCACCAGCTTTTCTAAATATGGCCCCAGTCCCATCACGATCCTCAGGTGGGCCTAAGGATCAGTAACTCGGCTACTGGTTCAGAGGCTTCCTGCAGCATGCTGAGTGGGAAGCTGCTTTTACTCCATGGGTCTAGTACTTCATCCCCTCATAGTTTAACAAACCCACACAATGTTAGTTTTACTTGAAAAGCACCTCTGCAAAAGCAGTGTTCTTGTTTTGATGAGAGATATTTGGGACGGGCTAATTGACTTTTCTTTTCCCACTTTGCACTCGACTAATGGAGGGTGCATGTGAGTGTAACAAATGTCTTGTCCTTCTGGATATCTTGTTCTTGATGGTCACTCGATGAAGATGCATAGCAAGAGGTTAATCCTGTGTTCTCTAGTCTCTCAGGAACTGAAGATCCTCCGGCTGTCTGTGAGATTTCTCCGTTAGTGTCTTACTTTGGAGAGGTGAGAATAACTATCTGTGGAGGTATTTTTAAGAGTGTGCAGGCATGCATCTGATTTCCTTCCAAAGAAAGGGGACTTCTTCAGCCTAGGCTTCCTGAGAAAGTGTAAGATGAAGGGATCTAGGACCTGGGCTCTGTGTTATGTTTGTGGTTCCACTGGGGTTTACTCTTCAGCAGTTAACTCTCAGTTTTAGCCATCTGGAGAATGAGATTTGCAACGAGGCCGCACAGTTTCAGCCACAAGCACTCTGAGATCTTCTGAAGGGAAGTTCAGAATAGTCAAATCACAAAATCCATGGGGTCCCTGTTTGGTTGTGTGATAATTTGTGCTGGGCTCCCACAGTGAGTGAATACTGAATGAGAACTGTGACATGTGCTGGCTTTAGAGAAATCACGTCTCAGATTTCTCAAGTTTGTCCTTCTGAAAAAGAATTGGTCCTGGGAAAGCTGCTTCCATCTGAGCAGTGAGGAGAGAAGCTGCCCTGTGCTGGACAGGGTGTCCACTGTTCCTAGTGGACTGCAGGAGGATATGTGGGCACTGTGAGGAAGTGTGTTCATAAAACTTCACATCTTCACTAGGTTTCCACATACAGGTAGTATACTCCTCAGAATAGATGTGTTGTAAGAACAAAATTAAAACAAGGCAATTTAAGTTGACTTTTCTTTGCTTGGATTATCCTAATGTGAGTTAAGGACACACCTTCCCATGCCTGTCCCTCCCCAGGAAGCTTGTTCTGAGATCCATTGTTTTCTGGCTCCTCAGTGCTTCTCCTTGAGGAACTCCAGCCTGGGGGCTGAAATGCTTTCTGGCCCTGTCCTGGGGAAACCTGCTGATGTCTGTGCTTCCCATGACCTTTTAACTTTGGGTAGTCAGTCCTTCTTTGAGGACATTTTGTAGATGTGAAAATAGGGCAGATAAGCAGGTCTGAGTTTGCAGCCTAATGATGCTGTTCTCACCCGTTCTCAGGGTCTGGAGGCATACATGAAGAACAAAGACTTCACTTCTCCCTTTGTACTCGATGAAGACAAAGCAGAAATTCTAGGAAACTCCTGAAGAGGAGGGAGGCCCTTCCCCCTCAGCTCAGATATCTGCCTGTCAGACCCATTGTGAGAACTGACATGGCTGAAATGTCAGCTATGAAGCATGTTATAGAAGAATTGCTTTGCAGTATCCTGTCAATGCCAGATTGTGTTCACACACCCCTGCACGCTCACCAGCTCTGGCTGGTAACTTTGAACTTATGCCTTTTACCTCAGTCTGTTTTGTAGCCTTGGATGGGAATGAAGATTACTACCTTCCAGCTACCAAACAGATGGTGTATTTCTTATTTGCAGTGCCTATGAGAAGAGCCAGTCAGGGCCTAATAAATCAGCTTTGCATTCAGGGAGATTAAATCTGTCCAGTGCCTTGCTAGATATCTCTTCTGTGCCAGTGGGGTTGGGGTTTGTTTTGTTTGTAAATCGTGTGCACAGCTGAAGAATCAGTTTGATCCTTCTTTTCCCTAATCCTGGGCTGGGTAGAAGATACAATTCAGGAACTGCCCCCCCTGACCAGGTCCCACAGAGCAGCCTGCCCTAGGCAGGGTCGCTGCTGTGGGTCAGCGTTGCTCCAGGGTTGGGCTCCAAAGCAGAGCAGACCAGGTTGTGTCTCCAGGCTCACTGGTGCCATTCCAAGAAAGCAGAAATAAATAGAATCATATAATCTCTTTAATTAAATATGCAGCTTAAACTGAATGCTCTTTACAGCTGTAGTAACCTGGGTTTTTTTAATTAAAAAAAGATTTTTTTTTTTTTTCACAACGACTCTCTGCTCTTCCTGGCTATAACAAACATTTATTTTACTTTTCATTTTTCTCTTTAATGTGTACTATATCCCTCAAAGGGGACTCTTTTAGAGGACCTGAAAGTTATCAGAGGAACAAATCCTGATGGCAGAATTCAATGCTTAACCAAAGCAGTAACAAAAAAGACTTAATCCCAGCATAACCAGGAAGACACCAGCCTTTGCTTCTGCAGTTTCTGGCCAGGTAGTTTTCCAGCACTTTTTCACTTATGAAATAATTCTTTAAATCAAAAAATGCCTTTTAAATATATTACTAACCATAATGTAAAGATAAGTGCCAGCTAATGAAGGACACTAATTAGCAAAACATCTAACATGTGAACTCAGCCCTGGCTGAGTGTTTCCAGGGTGGTTGTGATCCATGACTGGCTGTTCCTGCTGGGCCTTTAGAGGCTGTCCCCACCCCTTGTTCCACCTTTTGTGAGGGTGCTGCAGGGGCACTGCTGGGTGGCCTTGGCTTGAGGAGCATTCTGTTCTTTGCCCCTAAATGAGGTGTGGAGGAAGGTGCCTCATCTGGAATGTTATTTTGTCCATCTGCTTCTGCTGAGGAATTGCTGACACTATTTTATTAAGCATAAATCTTTTAAATAACATGTTGGTTGCCTGACCAAAGCTGTGTTCAGAATGTTGGGGAAGTATAAAAATGGCTTTGAGAGTAAATGCAGTTTGTACAAAAGCTCCTGTTTTCCAAAGAGAGCATCTAAATGTCAGAGGCAGGAGCTGTCAGGTTTAAAGACACGTCCTGAGCCCATTGCACCACAGACCAGCTAATG